TTTAAAGTGGGTAGAGGTGGAGGACATCTTGATTTCATAGGCCCACGACCGTGTTAGCTATGATGAGGTATGTTTGTGTGATTAGAGCGTGTTTGCTACGTATTATGGTTGCTCTAACTTTGTGTTTCTTTCAGGTGTCCTTCGGCTCCATCCCCTCAATGTCGCCGTATCACCACTTATCCAACGATTGGATGTGGAGTTGGGGGTTATCTGTCCTAAAGCTATAGGGGAAAGCAAGGCTGGTGGTGACATTGGTCCAATGCAACGTCCATTAGAGGTGTCGGGGTCTCAAGTTGGTCAGTCGTAGAAAGGCGTCGTCTACTGATGATCCTATTATTGATCCCTTGAGGTCCCCTGGTCTCTCTGTGGAGCATGCGGTTCCTAACACTTCTACATAGGTTGTCACTTCTTTTGGTTTGGCACAAGGGGAAGTTCAACCCTCTCATGGATCGTCATTTGTCGTAGAAGGGGATGATGTTGCAGAAGGGCCTGTGGTGGATGTTCGGCCTGCGGGGAATGATGTGTCTGAGACTCCTTAAGATGAACTGGATATTTTTATGGAGCTCGCAGTAGTGTGCCGGGAGCTGACAAACTATTACCATAAAGACATGGTGCCTATCCGCTTTTTGGTGTTTGATCTTGTTATTATCCAGAAGGGATGGCTTCCTACTGTCAAGTTCCCTCCCATGGTTATGAGAGCTTCCCTAAACACTGTAGATGGCTTGATGAATTCCATGATGTCTTAGTTGGTTGAAATGCTATCATGGTCTCTTTTTGCTTACTGGCTGAAAACCTACGTCTCATTTGCTGCAATGGGCTTCGTGATGGAGATGATTCAGGATCATGTGGTTTGCATGGCTCATGTTTTCTAGAAGAATGGATATAAGGAGTATAGCTCATTGACTTTGCAGGCTTTGGATGATCTTGATAAGCGTTTGAAGGTTGTGGATGCCTGTATCTCTAAGACTGAAGAGAAGGTAGCGGCCCTTCTTGATGAGGCCGCTCATCAGCAGAAGGTGTTATCGTAGCTGCAAGAAGAACATCGGGATATCATTGGGATTTAGGAGTAGAGAGAGTTTAGAGATAACTGAGAAGTAGAAGGAGTGATTTAATGAATAAAGTGCTTATGTTTGTACCATTTTTGCTATGTGAATGTCACTACTGAAAAATTTATCTACAGAGGCGGCCATAACTGCCTCTAAAAGCTTCCAAAATGCCTCTAAAAAAAATAGGAGGCGATCAAGTGAGTGTCTCTAAAAGCCTTGTCGCTAAATGTTTTAGAGGCAATTGGTTGAGAATTAGAGGCATATTTGTAATCTTCCTCTAAATTGAACTTTTAGAGGCACATACGACTGCCTCTATTGCATTGACACTAAAAGTCCTATATAGAGGTAGTTATAAATGCCTCTATAAGTTCAATTTAGAGGCGCATTCGAATGCCTTTAAATGATTTTGAGGTGATTTTATATAACTCTAAAAAAATCTAAGAAAAGAAAAAAATCTTAATTAAAAAGGTTTCAATTTTTTAGAGGCACTTTTAGCTACCTCTAAAGCTATATGCCTTGACATTTAGAGGCATTTTGGCCGCCTTTAAAAAGGTTCCAACTTTTATTAAAACAAAGTGCAATATATTATGAATATTCTTCCATAAAATTCCAACTAATACACCTGTTTGAAAATATATTCTTCAATCAAAACATGAAACCTATATGTTTCATCCAAAAGATACACCTTATCCATAAATTGTGAATAATTTCAATTGATTTCCATCATCACTTTAAGAACAAAAAGAAACCAAAAACACAACATTCAACCCTCATTGTATTCCTTCTTCCTTTTCACTAGATGACTTTTTTTTTGACAACCTACAAATCAAATATAGAGTCCAAAAGAAATTCTTTTTAACATATAAAGAAATAAAATGCTCTTTATAGTCTTCATCCAATCCTCTCTTCCTCTACAACCTGTAAAGAAAAGCAACAAAAAGAAAAAAAAAAACAAAGTAGATAGGCATAATTTTTGTAAATTAATAGCTTTTGATAATTAATTGATGCTTTGTCTCAATTTAAAGAAATTTATTCTTGGAAGCCATTAGTTAATTCTTTCAATTCTTATTCTATGTTTTTTGTCATAAAGAAACCAAAAGGGTCTATAGTAATTAGTGCCAATCATCTGATACTATGTTCATTTCAAAAGTTAATAGAATATTATTGCATCAGTATTTGGTGGGTCCAAAAGTCTTCACATTTCCTTGGGTTCTTAAGTATATTAAGGAAAGAAACCCTTGAAGGTACACGAGAGGGTGGTTCTTGGACGCAGTTGCTAATAGCAACATTTTACATCTCGGCCTTGTAGGTACATAAGAGGGTGGTTCTATCACAAGGAGTCACCGACCTTTGCAGCAGTAGCTGCAAGGTGCTTCGCATCTCTACTTGCATATGTTCCATTTGGTCGAAGTGGGACTCAATGCTATAGACCTTATGGAATAGGATGGTGATGCCTGCCTACTATGTCGTCTCTTGATTGTCTTGGTCCTCAAGCTCTATGTTAGAGTTATCAGGGTTTTCGTGTTGCTCCTCTAGGATAGGGGAAAGATTGATACTTCGGGTAGTCATTCTTCATGACCAAGGGAAATAACTAGAGATTCTAATGTAAGTGGTGTAGAAAGGCAAAGTGTGGTGGTCTCCTTGAAGGACGAAGAAAGGCTAGGCTCTCGGGTAACAAAAATAGACAAGGATCTTCTATTGATGGAATTGTGTGTTTGTTATGATCTATGCCCCTTTTATAAGGGGAGATCATGAGGCCCTGAAGGGAAGGAACCAAAAAGAGGTTTGACTCCTATTTGGAAAGGGAATCTTCGATCCGATGTCGATTGTTAAGAGGGCACCAATGGGGGTTCTCCACGTGTCACATGAGATCTTTCATGGACTAAGTTTCCTTTCGTCCGAGGATTCTCATAGTGCACATGCACTACTTCCCTTTGCGGGTTTCCTATATTGATGCGGCATGGGTGATGTTAGAACTAGTCTGACGTGTTCCGCTTAGTCTGCTATGTGTCTTGTTATGAGTGACTTTGGTTCGTTGTAGTCGTGTGATGGTCCTTTCATCCGTCGTAGGTCCACAATGGCTTCGAGCTCATTGCGAGTGTATGATGAGTTATGGGTTCATCGTAGGTTGATGATGGCCCCTATAATGGTTGCTGGTTTATCACAAGTTTGGTTTGATGCCTTTATTGCGGCCACCATTGTAGGGGAATATATGTACTTACATTACAAGTTCACCACTATTACCCTTTGCTACTATATTTCAATAATGGAAGATCCATCATAGATTTCAAATGAATAAGATATTGATAACTAATAATTTCATCTCTCTATACCAAACTAGGTAAAAGGTTTACTAGGTTAGTAGCTAGAGCAACAATGATCAATTTGGGATAGTATGTGAGGTGCTACCAACACGTTGTAACTTGTACCCTTCATCAACACTTGATGTTCCTTTTGTGAAACCCAAGTGAAGACTATGAAGCACCATCTTCATTTCACCACTATGAAATCATTGGAAAAAAAAAACCTTAAGACCATGCCTATGTACTGGCTAGTGTATGACAGAACAAAGCAACACCAGAATGGTTTTATAGTGCAAGAAACGATACCCACACTCAGTTAGTTTTTTATCCGAACATGTACAACATAATATGATGGAATGAAGGAGATAACATCAAACAAAAATAAAATAAAATAAAATATCCCCCAACTTCCACAATCTACCCCAACTTGAAAGGTATATTTAAGAGGTATCTAAGAGCCTATTGAATTCCAAAGCTTTCTAGTTCACGTTTCAAGAACTATAGTCATATGAAGATGATACATTTCATAGTACACTATAAAATGTGTTAATTATGATGCTCTAACATCAAGTGGACAATGTGATGATGGTTATAGGGATGTGAATTATTAATCATAAGGAAAGAGGTTTGCATAGAAAGAACAAAAGAAGATATCCTCATAAAGAAAAAAGATCATGCTACTTTGCCTTTCAGCTTTCGCTTCTATGATACTTGTATTTGATTATTTAAATCAGAACAAACGAATTCAATGTTATCTTAAAGAACGTTACCTTAAAATAAATCTTGCAAAATAGTCGTATTGTAGCAACTAATTTGTTGTTACCCTCTTCAAATCTTCAGTCTACTCATTTCTTTTTGTTGACAGAGATGTTGCACCCACTTGGTTCAAGAATGAGAGAGAAATGAAAGAAAAACGAAGTGAACATGAGAGAAAAAATTAACTTTTATTTGGTGTCATGTTGGATCGAGAATCCTTCTTATAAGCAAGATCATTTTAGTCTTTACAAATCAAGCACAGTTTCGACTTTAAAAGAGAAATAAGGGAAATTGTGACATAAAATCCATGTTGGATTGAGAATCTTTCTTAAAATTGAAAAAGTTGAGTTTAAATAATGTTGGATATTCTATTGGAATTCAGAAATCTGAAATAAGTCTTGAACGGCTTTTACTTTAGAATTTAGGTTTAAGAGTTAGGGTTTACGTCATGGTTTTAAAAACGAACCGGTGATTAAACCGGTCAGGGGTCTGGTTATTGGTTCAAACAGTCTGATCGTTCGACCCGAACGGTCGATCTGTTCTGACAAAAAAAATAAAAAAATTTAAAAAAATTAAAAAATTGGAAAACGGTCAAAACCATTTGAACGGTTCAAACGATTCAAATAATTAACCGGCCGGTTCAATGGTTTGCTCACCAAAATCAACGGTTTTGGAGGAAAACGGAAGGTCCGACCCGGTCCGATTTTGAAAACAGTGGTTTACGTCTTAAAAATCAATATGTAGTCGGAGGCAGGAGCTACGTAGATTCCAATCTGGGCGAACAAAAGCTCGTAATGCAATATATTTTTGGTAAACACGTAGACACCAATCTGAGGTATTGACAAATAAAAAAATGAAGATAGCAATCTGAGGATAACATATTGCTTGTAACGATAGGACTTATACATCAAATAAAAATCCTGAAGCCCTAGGCAAGGCCTAGAATCTCCTCGTTGCAAGTTGCTACAGCCGGCAGAAGAGAGAAATTGTTGGGATTCACCGTTCAAGTTAGCCCCATCGTGATTTTGGAGCTGTGTGAGAGACGGAGAAATGTTTCTGGGAGGATTTCCCAGGAAGCCTGACAAGGCGACGGCACTGAAGCAGCTAAGGACGCATGTGATGATGTTTGGGGTCTGGGTGGCCGTGGTCCGAGTCACTCCTTACATTCTTCACTATCTTTGCGAAGAGAAAGAGGAACTTAAGCTCGACCTCTGATTCTTCTGTCCACGGTTGAGGAGGTAAGGGGGGGAAGAAAACAGAAATAAGCCGCACCTTATATTTCTGTTGCTCTTCCTTTATCTCGTTTTAGCCTTTTAGATCAACGATCTTGGGCAGTTCCCTTTATTTTTAGTTAATACAATGAAGATGTGGATCAATGATTATGAGGTGGATTGCTCTTACTTTTTGTTTTTTTTTTTTTTATCAGTGACTTACTTTCTAGTTTGTACAAGAGATGAGTTAAGGAATCGAAAAATTGTAATAGTGGTTTTGTTTTTGTTCTCTACATTTTTTGGCTTTCTTAAAGAACTTCTTTGCTCACTTGGCACCCTAGGAAATATAGCTATTGAAATGCAAATGGTACAGGGTACAGGCATTTTCTCTTCTCGAGTTGTTTGCAATATTGCGGCAATCAAACAACTGACCATGTGGTAATGATTTTGGAAGTCATATGTCATCTCCTTGCTGCTTTCTTTTTATTTATGAACAGACCGGGTCTGTGTTAATGGAATTAAAGCATCAACTTGGGAAGCTGACATCTTGTTAGTTACAACCCATCTCCTGCATCCATATTGTTGAAAAATTCTCAGAGTTAGGATTGTTTTATGAACTTATTATTGTCTCCATTTCATGTCATTCCCTTTCTTTTTCTTTCTTTCCTTTTGAATTGGGACGGACCTGAAGTGCTAATGCCCTGTCAAATAAGTTACATCTTTTCTTATTTAGAGGCATTTATTTTGGTCATTATCCATGTTGTCAGTCATTTCTGCATTTTGTTCATATGGATTTTGGGAGTCACATGGGCGATCTTATTATGAGTTACTATGATTTGGGTGGAAATGGTATCTTCGTAAGAGCTAAACTTCTTTCTTTATTGCACGACTGAATATCGCTTTCCCATCAGGCTGGTGGGATCTTTTGGTATGGGGAGTTTATCAGGTGTTGTTTAGGTGGATTAAGGAAAGCTCTGAATGTCCCTAGAAGAGACGTCAATGGGTTGGGTTGCATATGAATTTCCCTCAACCCAATCCCAATCCTAAAGAACCCACTACTGGACCTTCGCAGACCTCTTAATGAAATAGAATTATTGAACCCATCCTAAACCTTATAAGGTCATACCGGAGGCGGACCCACCCTGTGTTGTGAACTTTAACAAAATGTCACCTATTATAGAAGTTTCATGAATATTTTTTTTTTTCGAATTTGTCCTAAATATCTTTCAGCTGTTGTTTATTCATGAAATCTTCATTTAAAGGAGAGAAAAAAGGCATAATTCAAGTCTTCTGCCAAGAGAAGGAGAAAGGAGGGAAGGTCACATGACATAAACAGCTATGTGATCCCTCTATCTACATGGGTGTGATGACCAAAGGGTTAGAGATAGCAAAATCCAAACTGACCTGAAACTGATGTTGGCTAGATGACTCAAACCTGACCCTATGACCGACCGAGGCTGCCCTGAACCTGATTTGTTTGTCTCATTGTCAGATTAGAATCAAAGGCCTTCATATTTAGGATGCCTATAGGATGAAAGTTTCACTTGGACATGTAAATCTACTAATGATCTTGCAGATTCTCTAGCTAGGGAAGGGTGGGGAGGTCTGAGATGGTTTGAGGGGCTTTGATCCGATGGCACAGCTTTGAAGCTCACTAGTATGCTACACTACAGCATATTATCATGTTTTCCAGCTTAATCTGCATTTCTACTCCTCAATCCCTTCTTAGGACTGTTTGTATTTCTCTTCTTCTACTGTTTGATTGTTGTTACTAATTAAAAAAACAAAACTGAGAGATTTGAGCAGTGAAATATGTGTGGATTGAGGGAGGTCAGTAGTATGTTCCAGCATTTATCATGTTTGCCAGCTTAATCTGCATTTCTGCTTCTTAATCCCTTCTCAGGACTATTTTTTTTTCTCTTCTTCTACTGTTTGATTCTTGTTGCCCAATTAAAAAAAAACTGAGAGATTTCAGCATCAAATATGTGTGGATTGGGCGAGCTCAGCAGTATTCTTCAGCGTATATCATGTTTGCTGGCTTAATCTGCATTTCTGCTCTTCAATCCCTTCTCAGGACTGTTCGTGTTTCTCTTCTACTGTTTGATTGTTGGTTCTAATTAAAAGAAAAAACCTGAGAAGAGATTTCAGCAGTGAAGCATGTGTGGATTAAGGGAGCACCTTATCTGGATATTGTTCTGCCAACCATAGAATCTGTTCACATTAATGAGGTCTCTCTCTCTCAATGAGTAATTTAACGATTATTGAGGTCTTGTTCATTATTGAAGGCCCTATGTGCTAATTACAAACCGTTGAACCCGTCCATATACCAGATTAAGATGTATAAGCCATTGGTTTAATCTGTAGGTATTGAAGGATTAATAGAAATACCATTAATGTCTATTAAAGCATTATTTTTGTCACATGCAACTACCCACTATTGTTATTTGCTGCTGAACTAAATTTTTAATTTTTGCAGTGGACCTGGGAGAGAGGTTCAGAATGAAGAAAAGGAAAAGGAGCTTGTAGGGTCCATTTTCTTTTCCTTTTTTTTTTTCTTTCTTTCTATTTGGTAATCTGAGAGGGACTGTGTGCGGTCAACATGCCCTTTTAATCCTAATGTTCGAGAAAAATTGTTTATTGAGGTTTTCGTGTATTTTATGATTTAGTTTACTTCTTGTTATTGCCATATTTGATAGCCTTAAAGAATGCAATGCTAGGATTAAGGTTCAAAATATCGATACGCCGATAGGAGAGCCGGTCTAGGACCCCTCCATCCTCTGAACCGGTCAGACCTCCAATACACCCACTGTAGGGGAATGATATTTATTGGTCAATACGTAATGATACTTTGAACCTTGGCTAGGATACATCTCATACACCTTAGAACAATATGAAGAGCTATTATATATTAGTTACATGTGCTGGTTTTGCCTGCTTGGATGCATTTTGGGATTTCTATTTCAGACAATAACAGGGGACCACAAGGTTTTCATCATGTTATTCATGGCCAACCAGTTGGCTGACAAAGCAGTTAGAGAACTTTATGAAGGTGGGAGTTTGGGAGTGTTTATTTGAAAAATAAGTGCTTATTTTAATAAGTGCCCATGAGACTTTGGTGAAAAGCACTTATTTATGAGAATAAGTACTTATTTGGACGTATTTCTCAAACACAAATAAGAACTTATTTGTGTGGTCCGGGCCCAAATTAAGTGTATTTTTAAGCATTGCCAAAAGGCCATGTTTGGGATTGCTTATGTTAAAAACAAGTGTTTATTTGAAATAAGCACTTATTTTCATTTGGCAACTAGTTTTTTCAAGTGCTTATTTTAAAAAATGAGCAGTTATTTCATATTAGGCATTTGGTAATCTTTTTTCCATTAAACATTTAAGCATTTTTTACTATTTTGTCCTTCATTTTCTTTCAAATTTTTAAAATATACCCTTTTGAAAGTACTTTTATTAAATTATTTTTATAAAAACATTTTTATGAAAGTACCTTTATTAAATTATTTTTATAAAAACATTTTTATGAAAGTACTTTTATGAAAGCATTTTTATAAAAGTATTTTTGTAAAGTAATTTTCTGAAAAGTATTTTTTCACAAGCATTTTTATTTATAAAAGCTCTTTTATGAAAATATTTTTATAAAAATACTTTTACAAAGCACTTTTACAAAAGTATTTCTTATAAAAACACTTTTATGAAAGTACTTTTACAAAGCACATTTATGAAAGTATTTTAATAAAACCATTTTTACAAAAGAATTTTTATAAAAATACTTTTATGGAAGTACTTTTATAAAAGCACTTTTAGGAAAGTATTTTTGTAAAAGTACTCTTATGAAAGTACTTTATAAAATTCAACTAGGGATAATTTTATAAGTGGTATTTTAAAATTAAGATAGAGATAATTTTGGAAGAAAAAAATTGAATAAGTGCTTATTGTACAAGCACTTAAAAAAGTTGGAAATTTGGGCTTAAAAACTAAGCCCTTATTTTTAAAATAATCACTTATTTTCCAAACACTTAAGTGCTTAATGGTGTGATCTTGGCCCAAGTAAGCACTTATTTTAAATAAGTATTTATTTTTAAGCACTTCATGCCTTAGCCTAATAAGGATCTGAAGTTACAAAAGCACAATCGAAAGATCCCAATGTTGTTTGAGGTTATAGGCCTAGCAATTCAGTTGTCTAGGGATGAACCCAAAGGCCTGGGTTCTACAACAGGCCCGACTCTGATCCATGCCATTAAGAGCACAAGGGATCAATATCACTATGCTCCGTCAGGATGGAAACAACAGATTCCTTTGAGTATGGGAACTAGCATTTCTGAGAAATCCAGCTCCCTTAGCTATTGTCCATGATAAAAATTAAAATAGGAAAAAGCACCAACAGTCCATGAGGCATTGAGATCAAGGGGTCATTATGTAATGCGTTCGGATCTATTGACCATCACAACACGTTGTTGGTCATATTCACCCGGTTGCACATTGGGAGCATCTCTTATAATTTATATCACCAAAATTCTCAATGTGTGGCTATGTGAATGTGGCTAGCAATGTGTTGTGGTAAGCAGATCAGGACTCTTCTACAATATGGATGTTATTCATTTGTTTTTTAATTTACAGTCGATCTCTCCTTCTCCCTCATTCTCTCTCTCAATCTATCACTCCTCTCTCAATTTCTACCATTTTTTCTCAGTTTATTTCTCACTCCCTTTCTTGTTCTTTTTTTATTTTTATTTTTCTTACACACTTATATGATATTAACAAGACCATATTAAAGAACATAAGACCAACTTAGTATGGTTCTAACTCCCTTAGCCCAATTTGATAAAAATTCACAAGAAACTCTAGGTTATGAAATTTACATCATCTTGATAGAAATTTATAACTTGATTGTACAAGTTGTTGGTCCCTTAATTAACTTATAACTTATACAGTTTGATTAATACCGTATAAGTTTCTATGAAAAATAAAAAATGAAGGAGGGAGTGGGAGAAAGACTAAGGGAGAACGATAGAGATTAGGGGAGAATTAGAGATCTACCAAGAGATAGATAGATAGATAGATATAGAGAGAGAGAGAGAGTGAGAGATTTTGATGTGGTTGTAGACCAAAGCTAAGAGAGTGGGACAGATAGAGGGAGTGGGAGATCTAGAGATGACTGTGAGAGTTAGAGAGTGGGAAGGATATCGAGAGGTAGAGGGAATATGAGAGACAAAGGGAGCGAGAGCGAGAGAGACAAAGGGAGTAGGAGATCGAGAGGTAGAGAGAGAGAGAGGTAAAGGGAGCAGGAGAGATAGAGGGAGCGGGAGATCGAGAGGCAAAGGGAGCAGGAGAGATAGAGGGAGTGAGAGATCGAGAGACAAAGGGATTGAGAGATAGATGTTTTGATTTTGGTATAAATTTTTTGTTGTGTCCAACATGGATTAAGAGTTCCATGTTGGCAACAACCACATAAGCCTCTAATGACATGGCAGGGGTTTTTATAATTTGAAATGTACAGTTGGTTATCAGAGTTTTGTTGGTTTTTGAACCAACATGCAACATAAATTTAAATGTACAATTAGAGGTGGCAACGAATTGAATTCTTCACGAGCTACTCGAGCTTGGCTCGACTCAGTTTATTTTATATAATAATAATAATAATAATAATAATAAAATTATAGAAAGTAATATATATGATTATTAATATTTTAAATATCAAATAAAAATATTTTTATATATAATTTTTTACTTTTATAAAACATTTTTTCTCAAATCGAGCTTGAGCCAAGCCGAGCTCGAGCTTGAGCCTTGTACTATTCAGCTCGGCTCGGCTCGAATCCACCCCTATGTACAACCAGCTCTAACTATAGTTTTCCTAAAACAATTCATGTTGTAGAACACCCTCTAAGATGGTGGGCCCTTGATTACGAATACCAAACCAATATATATATATATATATATATATATTAAACAAGGAAGTCTAGAAATTTCTCCTTTTTTTAAGAATTTTTTTAATTTTTTTAATCCATTTCATTTTTGAAACTACCAATTAGAAACTCTACTTTCCCCAAAAAATCTTCCTAAAATCTCTCTCTCTCTCTCTCTCTCCCACACATGCCAATAACCTAAATAATCTAATATTCTAAAATTTATCCTAAACAACCTCCCCCAGTATCCCCAACTTTCTCCTAAGTTATCTCAATTTAGTAGAGAGTTTCTCTCCTAAATTATCTCTAATTCTTATTTATCTTTTCCTCCACTTTTTATCTACATCTATCTAAAGAAAGTTTGAATTAAAAAATTTAAGAATTATTTAAATATTCTAACAAAATTATATAATATTTTTTAAAAAGACAAAAAATAATTATAATCGACTTAATAATATTCATACTATTAATAATTATATATGTTTACAAAATCCATCAAAAAATTATGTACAAACAACATAAATTATCTCATCGTCTGATGTTAAGCCTAGAAGGAAATCGGGAAGAGTTGGCCTCCATGAATCTCACCGCCCAGGTCCAGTGCTATGTCTGGTGGATCTTGGTGGCTGCGAAGAACAAGAGAGAGAGAGAGAGTAGCAAGGAGTAGCTAAAGAATCATTCTAGTTGGGATGCAGAGATGACAGAGAGAGGAAGGAGAGAAGAGGAGGTGAGAAGGATAGACAAAAAATTGAGTGAAAGGAAGAAAATGAAGGAAAGAAAAGGGAAGAGAGAAGGATGGATGAAAAACTGAGGGAAAGGAAGAAAAGCGACGAAAAAATGAAAAAGCACAGACTGGAGCAGTTGCAAGTTACAACGGTGGATTTGGTAACCGCCCGGCCATGCTTGTCTTGAACGTGTGTATACCTGCAACAGTGGAGGAGAATGGGGTCACTGTAACTTTGGAGGAGAAGCTCCGAGGCGCGTCTGAAGACACTGTCTTTAGAACGTTATTTGCCCCCACTTAGTTCTACTGAGTTTGCTGTTGGGTTACAGGCAAATTCGTTCCCAGGATACAACAGAGCCTTGGGCAAGAATCTGCAACCAGCAAAGTTGAAGAGTCTCCAGAGAAACCTTCTGTGAGACTGTAGCAGACCGAACTGAGAGAGAGAGAGAGAGAGAGAGAGAGAGAGAGAGAGAGAGAGAGAGAGAGAGAGAGAGAGAGAGAGAGAGAGAGAGAGAGAGAGAGTGAGTGAATTTCGAAATTGTGTGATTTGGAGTCTGATTCATGCTCCTTAAATAATTTGTGAAGAGGTATGAAGAAAAGGTAGGTGCTGGTTTAGAGAGGGCACCTTGAACAGTCACAATTTCAAACATTGTGACTGTTTAAAAAGTAGTTAACAGTTGGTGACTATTAACTTTGAATTGTGCCTCTTGATCACACCCGATCGAATCGTGACCGTTGATCTCATCAATGGTGATCAACGGTCACCAATGCACCAAAACAAGAGCCACCCATCGCGAGCCACGCGGGTAAGAGCAAAGTGCGCCTCTAAAGCGCCTCATTGCGCCGCACGCACGCGTTGCGCAATATTGAATCCCCATACTCTCCTCTACTAATTCTAAGGAGTGCAAATCAACTCTTATTGAAATACTGAAAACAAAACTTATAATTTTCCAATGTGGGACAAGTTCAAAACTGAGTTTTTGTAAGAGAAAAACTGATTTTTCAATCAAGTGTGCAAGTGCAATTTCTCATGTAATTGACCAATCA